GGCCCCAAGCGTGGCCCGTCAGCCCCGCGCCGCCCGAGCCCACCGCCCAGGACCCGCCGCTGCTGCGGGGCATCTTCGAGGTGGGGAAGAAGAGCTGCGACGTGGTGCTGAGCGCCGGGCGACTGCGCTGGAGCCCCATCCAGCCCGAGCGCCCCGCTGGTGAGCCCGCGGACGGGGCGGGGGCGAGGACCGGGACCAGGGGTCCTTCCTGCCGGGACCCCGGCTGAGGCTGGCGGGATTTGGGCTCCCTTGGGGGCGGAGGGCGCCCAGGGTGCAGGTGGGATGGCCTGGCAGGGGGGCAGCTAAGAAAGCTACGAGGCTCCCTTAGGGGGGTGCCTGAATGCAAACCCCTGGGGACTGCGGATGCCCAAACAGGACGGGGAGTTGGTGCCCACATCTCGGAGGGGGATGCTGCGCAGAGCACCGCTGGCCCTTGAAGGGCAGTGCCCACTTGGGCCCCTGTGCCCCTCTGCCTGGACACGGGAATGGTTTTGGGGGTGGAAGACAGCCCCGCAACCCCCCTCCCACTCAGAGATGGCGAGTTTGGTTAGAGCCAGGCATGCCTGATGTGCGTTGGGAATTGTGGGGGTCAGTAAGTGCACAGCAAGTGATTATTGGAGACAACCAAAGAAGAAAAGAGGGATGGGAGTAAAGGTCAAATATTTAGAGTGCGTGTACCGTGGGGTGATATGGAGCAGAGCATGTTGGGCAGTGCCCACTGGCCCTTGAGCAAATCCAAGGAGCCAGTGGATACTGCCCAGAGATGTGAGCGGTTAAGGGGCTGGAAGACAGCCCCACAGTCATTTGGGGGTCCCCTCTCCAGAGACCTGCTTCCTGCTCAGATAGATGGCAAGTTTGGCTCAAGCCAAGCCTATTTGCCACTTCAGGTATTTGTGGGTGAAAGGCCCACCAAGTGAAACTATAAGCCTACCTTAGAAAGGGAGGCTACTGGGAAAGTGGGAACTAATTCCTTGGGGCAAATGATAACAAAACAGAAATGGGACTGGAGTTCAAAGGTTTAAAACAGGTGCACCATGGGGGTGGGGGGACACTGGACAGTGCCTACTGGCCCTTTAACCAGTCCTAAAGATATCACTCTAAGAAAACCTTGCCTCTCGCATAATTCCTGGACTATTGTGGCTACAATATCACTCTAACACTACTATATCATTACAAAAGGGCATATTCTTAATATGCAGTTAAGTGTTTATTTCAGTCAGACATCTATTTCTGTAGCATGTTCTCTCAGGTATACAGGGAAGAGGGAACTCTGTAGTCATTACTGGGATAGCCAGATCATCTGTTCTCCTTTAGAGCTGGCTGTTGGATAGGAAACAAGTGCCACATTTCATAAGTGTAGAGTTGCTTATTGTATGAGGTGTTGAAATCTACATTGCTGTAGGATGTTGCTATGGCACCATCAACACATGCGAGTCCCTAATGATACTGTTTAGTTATAGGAAGGAATTTTGTGGAGTGGCATTGCCTACAAATAAATCCAGTGATTTTAAATATACTAGGCTAGGTTTTCTTCCTGTTACAACGGCATATTCTCTTTCAGGGTGATTCTCTGTACATCCCATACATATGAAATTCTTTGAATAGCATTGCAGAGCTTCAGCAACTTTCTGGATTGCAGGGGTTAATGGGTTTCTTACTGCGTCAAACACTCATAGTCAAAGTCACTATGGTTATGTCTAATAACACCTTTTGGAAGAGCCTGGGCATGCCCCAAAGAAATAAGCTCCACCCATTTGCACCTGATCTTCATGTTCCCATTTTCAGAGTAGATACAGCTACTCCTCTCTTAACATCATAGTTATGTTCTTGAAAAATGTGAGTTTAAGCTAAACGATGTTAATCAAATCCAATTAGGTCACAGTACTTACCTACTAGCAGGCAGTGGCCAAGCAATGTTATAACCGAACATTGTGCAACTTTAAATGAGTATGTTCTCTAATAGATCAGCGACATAATAATGAAACAAGGTTAACCGGGACGACTTTAAGTGAGGAGTACCTGTAGCTTAGAAGCCTCTAGCAGTGCTGGTGCCAAGTGCAGCATTTCTCAAGTGTATTGCATGTGCAGAACTATCACACTGGAAACCTGTGCATTTTGGCGCACGGACCAAGTAGGAGTGGGCAGGATGTATTTCTGAGTTCACCTCCATGTTTTTTCAGAAAGTAGTGTAAGGTAAGGCAGTGTTCTCTTGTACAGTACACTCCACTTGCATGAATAGCCTCTGGACTGAAGAAAAGGCTACAGTTATCGAAATTCAGTGTAAAAAATACATCTGAGCTATAGCTGGGGTGTCAAACTCATGCCTGTGGGTCAGATGATTGGTACAGGACTGGTCTACCAGCCAGCTAAATGGCACATAGCCAGTACTGTGGGCTGGATTGGGCTCATGCAGCTGTCTCTTCCCTCATGCCAGATCCAGAGCATACAGTGCTTCCTTTGGGAGCTGCCCTGCATGCAGCACCTGCCCAAACTCTTCAGGACGCATACCGTACATGGAGTCTGCTCCAGCCTCTCTGGGACTTCCACTGCATGTAGAGTCCACCCCAGACTGGCTCGTGGGAGGTGCCATGTGCGGGACATGTCCTAGAATAGCTGGATTGGGTATTATGTATAGCACACATCCTGAAGTGACTGGGAGGGGAACACTGCATGTGACACATGTTCTGGAGCCTGTGTAGTGAGCACTGGACCAGAATCCCCACATGCTTCATGTGGGTCCATTCTGGGCCTGGGGTCAGCACCAGGGCTAGATAATAGGGGTGCACTGATAGTGATTTTTGGGGCTGATACCAATAGCCAGTTTTTAAGGAGACATATCAGCTGATACCTATCTGATTTCTGATACCAGCCAGGCAGCTTGGAGAGCTGCATGCAGCTGGTAAATCTGGTGTGG